GTTGACTCAGAACTCAGTGTTTTGATCAAAACAACTTTACTTCTTCTGAGATGCGGACCCTGAACTCAGCTCTCGGGACACAGTGCTTCTATGTCTGGCCTTGGCCTGGCTTAGCAGACCCAGAACAAGGTCAGGCTCAGCTCTGGCATGTGGACCTCCCACCTGGATCCTACCTGGGCCCTCACCTGCAAGGACAGGTGCCTAGCAGCCTTGGTGATATTGTCCGGGAATACACTCAGGCCCAGGCCAGCACAGTCCACTGTGTCATCTCGGGGACACGAGCAGCGCCAAGGACAGGCCCTCGGCAGGGGCTGTGAGCTGTCACCCAAGTGTGGGAAGGCAGGGTCTTCCATGTATGCAATAGCCCACCTCAGCATCAGGAGCAGCAGCAGCTCTTGAGGCCTCTGGGGTAAAGCAAGGGATCAACAGGCCAGTCTGGTGAGGGGTTCCCCCATGCAGGGTAGGCTTGGCCACCTAACCAGCAACCAGAGCCAGTCATGGGTGGGCAGACCGCTCCAGACCCTCCCTGCCCATCTTACCATAATCAGCTCAGTGCTGCCTCTCCTCAAGCTCCAGTCCAGCATTCACTTCCTCCAACTTCCCCTGTAACTACAGCTGCCCTCCATCTCTCAACATAGGACACGCGCACGCGCGCACACACACACATGCACACACAGCTACACCACAGGGCCTGAGGGGATGACCATCCCCTCCCTGAACAGGGCAGGCAGAGGGCTGGATAGGGTGGCAAGGCTCATCTAGCCCATCCCTCCGGTTCCCTCCTGCTCCAACCGCCCCGCTCTATTTTCATAACCTCAGCCAGCCTAAATTGAGCCACAGTGATGAGGAATGTTTGAGAATGGCTGAGACTCACCCTATCTGGTATTTGGGCTGACCACAGGCAGGAGTGGGATGCCAGTGGATGGGGGAGGCAGTGGAGGGTCCCCAAGGAGATGAAGTCAACCAGGGGGGGCTCAAGGGAGGTTTGGGCTTCCCTTCTCATGCCTGGCTGGCAGCCACAGCCCACCCCCAAAACAGTCATGGCCCTTGGAGGGAAATAAATGTAAGGAAAGCAGAGGCTGGTAGTTATCCATGTAAGCCAGCGGCTGGTCAGCCTGTTTGAACCGGGTTTCTGTGCCTCGACTTCCCTTTTTGTTGTTGTTGAGTTTTTTTTGTTTTTTTTTTTTCAAAGACAGGGTTTCCTTGTGCAACAGTCCTAGCTGTCCTGGAACTAGCTCTTGTAGACCAGGCTGGCCTCGAACTCAATGAGATCCACCTGCCTCTGCCTCCCAAGTGCTGGGATTAAAGGCGTGCGCCACCACTGCTCAGCCAAAGAGCCTCCTTTACATAGCAAACTTTCTTGTAGGACTATCTTTTATGGGACCATCAGCTCCCCAATAATGACCCAGAGACTTATTTTTAATTATGAAAGCTTGGCATTAACTTAGGCTTTCCCCCAACTTAACAAACCCATATTTTTTTTACGTATGTTCCACGATGTAACTCTGTGACCTCTTCTTAGTAAGGCACATCCGACTTCATCCAAGTCTGCTGGCGAATCTGTGCACCTGGACTTCTTCTCTTTCTCCCCCAAAATCGGCCTATCTTCTCCTGCCTAGCTATTAGCCATTCAGCTCTTTATTCCACCAATCACAGCAATACATTTTCCCACAGTGTACAAATACCCCACAGCACCTTTAGAGCTGCTTGGGAGTTCTAGTTTCTTTTCTATCACTGACCAATGCTACTTACGGCAGAAAAAGGTTCATTTCGTCTAACACTTGTAGCTCACAGTCCTGCTGCTGAGGGACAGTGGGGCAGGCACTCGCAGGGGCTTCGTGCAGGGGAAGGCTGCGTGCTAGCCTCCTCTCTGACTGGCTCAAGCTTCCCCACCTGCTCAGATCTCCAGGTGTTCCATGAGTGCCGGGAACCGTGGTCTGTCCTCTGGGATTGCATCAAGAGCTCTGAACCAGCTCTCTAACTTGGCAGTTTTATTTGTTGTTTTTGTTTGTTTGTTTGTTTGTTTTTCGAGACAGGGTTTCTCTGTAGCTTTGGTGCCTGTCCCGGAACTAGCTCTTGTAGACCAGGCTGGCCTCAAACTCCCAGAGATCCGCCGGCCTTTGCCTCCCGAGTACTGGGATTAAAGCTTGGCAGTTTTATTTGCCAGCCCTTTGAGGAAGGGGTCTTTTTTTACATACTTTTGACACCTTGCTTGTTTTTGAGACAGGGTCTTATGCAGCAGGCATTGGCCTCAACTATGATCTTTCTGCCTTAGTCTCCCTCAACTGGGACAATGGGCTGTGCTAAACGGCGCCCACCTAGCTGCAGGAGCTTATTGAACTCTACAGCATTTCTGGAACAACCTTGACAAAAGGGGAAGCTGAAGCCAGCTGATGGTGGGTCCAACCTGGGGAGGAGGCTGTAGGATATATGAGAAAACAGCTGAGCAAACCTGAGGCTTAGGTTAGGAAGCAGCAGCTGAGCAAACCATGAGGCTTGGGTTAGGAACAACAGCTGAGCAAACCTGAGGCTTAGGTTAGGAAACAGCATTCTCCATGGACCCTATACCAGTTCCTGCCTCCAGTTCCTGCCCTGAGTTCCTGTGCTGAGTTCCCTCAGTGATGGAATGCGACCTGATAGTTGTAAGATGAAATACTTTCTAAAGTTGCTTTCGATCATGGTGTTTTATCACAGCAATAGAAGCCTTAACCAAGACATTGGGTTACATAATTTCTAATTCCATGTGCTTTTTCTCTTGTGCCCTGGGCCTGTTTTCCGTGTCTGGTTAGTGATTCAGAGGACAGAAAGTGTGGTCTGCCATACTGTACACTGCTGTAATTTCCATCTAAACCCACGTCACTGGGACGTGCTGACAGCTGTCTTCTGGAATGTGTCTTGTGACCAGACACATGGGGAGCCTTCTATGATAACACCTGTGAGCCCAGCACAAGAGGAGGAAGCAGGGGAATCATGAATTTCAGACTACTCTGAGCTATATGAGACCCCAACTAAAACAAAACAAAAAACACACCAGGTTGGCAAGATGGTTCAGTGGGTAAAGGCACTTACTGTCAGGCCTGATAATTTGAGTTCAATCCCTGGGCCCCACATGGTGAAGACAGCTGACGCCTGCAAGTTGTCCTTAGGCCTCCACACGCGCCATGGTACAAACACACTGGGGTAGTTTGAGTGTAATTGCCCCCCCCCCCCCCCCGTAAGCTCATAAGGGAGTGGCACTATTAGGAGGTTGTGGCTTTGTTGGAGGAGGGCAAGCTTTAAGGTCTCATATGCTCAAGTTGCATCCAGTGTCTCAGTTCACTTCCTGTTCCCTGCACAAGATGTGGAACTCTCAGCTACCTCTTCAGTCCTTTGTCTGCCTGTAAAGTGCCATGACCCATCATGATGGTAATGGACTGAACCTCTGAACTGTAAGACACCCAATTAAATGTTTACCTTTGTAAGAGTTGCTTTGCTCATGGAGTCTCTTCACAGCAATAGAAACCCTAATGAAGCCACATATGCATAATAATAATAACAATAATAATAATAATAACAAACAAAGCCTGTGCTCTGTAGAATTTTTACTTTTCTTTCTTTCTCTCTCTTTCTTCCTTCCTTCCTTTCTTTTCTTTTTTTTTTTTTTAAGACAGGATTTCTCTGTGTAGCTCTGACTGTCCTGAAACTCACACTGTAGACCAGGCTGACCTTGAACTCACAGAGACCAGCCTACCTTTGCCTCCCAAGTGCTGAGATTAAAGGAGAGCACCACCACTGCCCCACCTTTTTTTTTCTTTTTTGAGTTTTTTTTTAATTGATTTTAACTATATAGATGTATGTGCATGTATGTAGGTGCCCACAGGGGCTCTGGCATGGAGTTTAGAGTTACAGGCGGTTCTTAGCCACCTGACCTGATTGTTGGAAGTCACCTGGGGTCTTCTGGAAGAGCAATACAGACTGTTAACCTGAGTCATCTCTCCAGCTCCCCACACTCGGTGGTTTGCACAAGAAAGGGAGGAAAGCCTCCAGGGAAGAGGGGAGAATGTTGGCAAAGGGAGAGGGTCACCTAATTGAAGAAGGCAGATGTGAAAGAGGAGACAGAAGAGGTGGGTAGATCTAGGCCGGCCTTTGGTATCTCAGAGGCCTCCTGGGGAGGTCCGAGGGGAAACATTACAGATAGAATGAGGTATTGAATACAATGTATTCTGTATTGGCAAGATGTCTCCGAGTCAAGGCCCTTACACAAAACCTGAAGACTAGAGTTCAGTCCCTGGGGTTCACGTGATGGAAGGAGAGAAATGACCCCAAAATTGTCCTCTGACCATACACATGCCCTGGCATATGTGCACACACACACACACAAATGTAATAATACATTTTTTAAAAATGTTTTCTAGGGGCTAGAGATATGGTTCCACAGTTAGAGCACTTGGGTTTTCCAGACGACCCAAGAAGTAGCTCACAGCCATCTGTAATTCCAGCTCCCAAGAACCCAATGTCTTCTGAGCTCACCTGTGCCAGACACACACATAGTACACATATGCAGACAAAACACTCAAATAAATAAAGCTTTGTTGTTGTTTGTTTGTTTTTCACGACAGGGTTTCTCTGTGTAGTCCTGGCTATCCTAGAATGTGTTCTATAGACCAGGCTGGCCTTGAATGTAGAGATCCACCTGCCTCTGCCTCCTGAGTGCTAGGAATTAAGGGATATACCATCGCACCCAGCTCAAAATAAATATACACTAAAAAAGTTTATAAAAGTTTGTTCTTGGGCTGGAGAGATGGCTCAGAGGTTAAGAGCATTGCCTGCTCTTCCAAAGGTCCTGAGTTCATTTCCCAGCAACCACATGGTGGCTTACAAGTCATCTGTAATGAGGTCTGGTGCCCTCTTCTGGCCTGCAGGCAGACACACAAACAGAATATTGTATACATAATAAATAAATAAATATTTTTTAAAAAAAAAAGTTTGTTCTTTCAGATCGCTCTCCATTCGCCACTACTATGTCTGCGCTGACACCTTTTGGTCTGTCGCCTCGGAGGCTGCCTGCTGGGGGCTGCCGAGCAAGGGCTGCTGGAGACAGTGGAGTCCGTCATGCTGGTGGTGGGGTGCATATTCCGCCCAAGTACAGGGAATTTCTCCAGCTTACCCGGAAACAGGTGATCCAGGGGGAGTTCTTCAGCTCACTCATGTGGTTCTGGATTCTCTGGCGCTTTTGGCGCGACTCAGACGCTGTGCTGGGCCACTTTTCATATCCAGATCCTTCACAGTGGACAGATGAAGAACTGGGGGTCCCTCCTGATGATGAGGCCTGAAAGTATAAACTCAACTCTGTACAAGAGCAAGGTGAGAAGTTTCAAGAAATTACAGCCTTCATATTTAAAGTTGTAAATTAAAGTGGTTTGCCAAGTTAAAAAAAAAAAGTTTCGGGGCTGGAGAGATGGCTCAGTGGTTAAGAGCATTGCCTGCTCTTCCAAAGGTCCTGAGTTCAATTCCCGGCAACCACATGGTGGCTCACAACCATCTGTAAAGAGGTCTGGTGCCCTCTTCTGGCCTGCAGACATACACACAGACAGAATATTGTATACATAATAAATAAATAAATAATTAGAAAAAAAGTTTCTTCTTTCATAGGACTGGGGTGCAGTTCAGCAGGGGGATTTGTTCCATCCCCAGAACCATAGAATAGAGTGTACCCTTTATGACGTTACGATAGTATTGAACACACCTAACATTGGGCTCTTGGACTGGTTGCTCAGTTGACTGAGACAGGGTCTCACTGTGGAATCCATCCTGGTGTGTAACTCCTGATCCTCCTGGCCCAGTCTGAGGACTGACACACATCACAGCCACACAATAGAGTCTTCTCGATTTTTAAATACTGTGTCCCAGTGAGAAGAGCTGAGGGCTGGGAGAACTGGGTTCCAGGTAGATTGGTTATAGTGAGGATCCACCTCCAGGCTCACAGATGGCCGGGAGGGTCAAATGACCTCCTCAGGGTCCTGTTTATCCAGGCGCTGACCAAGTTCATTTCATTGCTACCACAGAACACCAGAGGCTGGGTTATTTCTAGAGGAAGAGATCCTGGATGCTGAAAGTCTAAGATCAGGCAGTTCATCTGCTGGGCTTTGAGTGAGAGCCTTGTGCACGTTAAGTTCTGGTGGATGGCAGAAGGACAACAGAAAAGGGAGGTTGGATACCCAAGGTAGCTTGACAGTTCTTATGAGTAAAACAGTCATGACAATAACCCCTTTCTCCTTACAAACCTCTTAAAGTTCCCAACAGCTCAGCACTGATTCTGGAGACCAAGCATGCATGTGTGCACATACATGTGTAGTCGTGTGTATATACATTTGTGTGAGTATGTGTGTAGTTTGAATGAGAGTGGTCCTTTTAGGCTCTATGTTTGAATCTTTGGTCCTCAGTTGGTGGAACTGTTTGGGAAGGGTTAGGAGGTGTGGCCTTTTTGGAGGAGGTGTGTCACTGAGGTGGGCTTTGAGAGTCCAAGATGCTCAGTGCCCTCTGCCTCCTGTTTGTGGATTGAGACGTGAGCTCTCAGCTGCTGCTCCAGCTGCTGCCACCATGTCCTGCTCTGCCTCTTACAAACTCTAACTGGAACCGTAAGCGCAACTCAGCTCTTTCTTTTATAAGCTGCCTTGGTCCTGGTGTCTTATCACACCAATTGCAAAGAAACTGAGAGAGCATACATGTGTGTAGGAGTTCATGTGTGTCCATGTGTGTAGGAGTAAGAAGTGAAGCCCAGAGTGAATGTTTGTTCTTTGACAAGGTGCCATGAACCTTGTTCATGCCTCAGAGCCATGGGCGTGGCAAAACCTTTCCTTGGTGAGAATGGGAGAGACAGCAAATCCTTCCTCTGCTCCAGTGCGGACGCTGAGAGTTTATGCGGAAAGCGTCCACTGTGGTTTTCTTTTTCTTTTTCTTTTTTTAAACTGCTCAGAAATCTTTATTCTCTAATAGGGTGACACTTTCCCCTTCCCAAGCTGCTGCCCCTCCCATTCAGGGTTTCTCTGAGTTCAGTATCATCTCTCCTGTTACAGGGGGAAGGATCTCTTCCTTCTGGGGGAGTTGGGGGGTGGTTGCTGGTCTTTGTTGTCCGGGAACAAGGTGGGGAGGGACACTGGCCGTCAGCACTTAGAGCTCCATGATGTCCCCAGATGGGGATGCAGGGTAGAAGGGACTGGGGGTATCCCCCAGCCTCAGTAGCCTGAGGGCCTCAGGGATCAGGCTCCCAGGATAGCGCCACAGAAGCAGCTCTGGGCAAGAGCTCCAGAGTGGTGGCAGGACCTGGGGGAAAGTCACAGAGGGACTGCAGTAGGGGTGGTCATTATGTAGGCTGAATCGAGAGAAGTGGGTGGCCATGTTCTCCTCGGAAAGAAACTGCTTGTGCAAGGGCTCCCTGGCATCCAGGCCGCGAGCCACCCCAGTGGTGGCCCGTGGGTCCCGACTTGGGGGGCCTCGCTCCAGGAGCTGTTGTAGGATCATTACGTTTCAGGGTCCTGCACTGCGGTTTTCTTCCCTAGAGGTTGACAACCTGAAGACTTCTCCCCTACGGAGCCTGCTTCTGCTAATGTTAGTCAACTCCGCCTTCTTGTTCAGCCTCATATAATAACCCCACCTCCTGGTTTATCTGTTCCTAATAACATGCTGAGCTTCTAGAGTACTTCTTCATCTGAGAGCCCAGACCACTTTACGTCACTTTTTTCTCTCTTCGTGTCTCTGTCTCTTCATTCCCTTGCCACCCCAGAGGTCAATCCCTGGAGCCGTGCAGGCATGGTTCATGCATGCATGCATGTGTGCATATGTGCACGCATTGTGTGCATGTGGATATGCATGTGTATATGTGTATGTATGTGGTTATGCATGTGTATGGGTATATGTGTGAGTATGCACGTATATGTATGTGTGTATTCATGCATGTGTGTATGTGAGGTATATGCATGTGTATTGGGATGCATGGAGAGGTATACATATGTGTGCATGTAGAGGCTCGTTCACCTCGACTGTTGTTTCCCAGGTCTCATCATTGGCTTGCAGCTCATTGATTATGCTAGGCTGGCCGACCAGGCAGCCCCAGGGACCCATCTGTCTCTGCCTCCCAAGTTCTAGGCTGGCAGATTTAAATGACCACACCTGGTGGTTTGAGGACTGAACTCAGGTCTTTGTCTTTGTATTACACGGGCTTTGACTACTGAGCCACCCCAAGCATTGAGTCGCAAGCCATGTTCCAAGATCCACAAAAGGGTTTGGGAGTCGTGTGCCAGAACACAGGAGAATACACCAGAACACATGCAGTGTCCGAGTGCTGCAGCTGCAGCAATCTCTACTGACACACGCGGGGTGCATCTTCTTGATAACTAGGGGACATTTGTAGTTCGGGTGATGCTGTGCACTGACCGGCAAAGAGCGCATCTAAAGAAGGCTGCCTGTGTCAAGCATGCACGGAGAAGTGAAGAAGCATGCAGGGGACAACTCAGACCACGTTACAGGCGGGGATGTGGACAGCTCCTGGAGTGCACAGAGGGCCCCATTGCAGTGCACAGTGGATGGGTTGTGACCCAATACCCAGTGGGTTAGACATGCTCAATGCGCTGTCAACTCAATTAGCTTCAATTTATGATAGATTTATCTGGACGCGAACCTAAAAGCAAGGTAAATTACTCACATGAGTGTGTGTGTGCAAGTGTGTGTACGTGTGTGTGAACAGACAGCAGCCACAGTGGTTCTGGGGGACCCATCCGTCTCATGCTCTCCAGGCACATGCTTTATCACTGAGGCACACCCTAGTCCCCTGTGGCTCTTTTATACTGTGCTTAGGTTGTTACACACCAGTGGTCTTCAGTATACAAAGGGCAGGTTCAGTTCCTGCCTCCAGGCTTCTGCCTAGAGTTCCTGCCCCGACTTCTTTTTCAGTGACAGGATGCGTCCAGAGAGTTGAAAGATGAAATAAACCCTTTCTTCCTCAAGTTACGCTTGGTAGTGTTGTTTATCACAGCAACAGAAACCCAAAGACAATGACTAATCAGAAATACATGTAGCAACATGTACTTGCAATTAGCATTGAGAACTATGGCAGTCTTGTGGGACTAAGCCCTTAGCTGGTGGGATATGGTGCTGCACCCAAGCAGATTGTATTATAAACTAGCTGTGGACATGAACTTGGACTGTAAGGAACCCAGTAGCTTAGTGTGTACTCTACATCAACTACAGCTAGAATTTATACTTTAAGAGCTTATGTGCTAATTTTTTGTGGGTTTGTTTTGTTTTTCTGAGACAGAGTTTCACTGTGTGACAACCCTGGCTATCCTAGAACTCACTTTGTAGACCAGGCTGACCTCACACTCGCAGAGATCTGCCTGACTCTGCCTCCCAAGTGCTGGGATTAAAAGTGTGTGCTGTCACTGCTTGGCTGCTAAAAATTTGTTAATGTTTAAAATTACATGCTGTTAATTTATTGTGTGTGCACATGTGTACACATTCTTGCAAGATGCTTATGTGAAGGTCAAAGAAACGTAAGCAATCAGGCCTCTCCCACCATCACACGGGGCCTGCAGATCCAGCTCAGGTCATCAGGCTCTGGACAGGCGCTTTTACCAATAGTTCCTATCTCACTGGCCAGTGTTGGTCTCCACGGGCAACTCTAAGATAGTAGAAATATAATCTTTTTTTTTTTTTTGAGACAATGTCTCACTATGTAGCCTTGGCTGTCCTAGAACTAGCTCTGTAGACCAGGCTGGCCTCGAACTCTCAGAGATCCATTTGCTTCCTGAGTGCTGAGTTTAAAGTAGTGCCCCCACTACTGTACTTACATGGATGAGTGTGCACATGTGTGTGGAAACTAGAGGACACTCTCGGGTACCATTTCTCAAAAACCTCCCACCTTATTTTTTAAACAGGTCTTTCTGTGGGACCTGGAACTCAGAAACTAGGTTAGACCGACTGGTCAGTGAGCCCCAGCATCCTAGAATCTACCTATCTGTGCCTTTCCAGGGCTGGGCTGATGAAGTGTACCCCTGTACCCCTGTACCTAACTTTGTTTTGTTTGGTTTTTTGAGGTAGGGTTTCCCTGTGTAGCCCTGGCTGTCTTGGAACTCATTACACAGACCAGACTGGCACTATCAATGTCTGTATCTATCTATCTATCTATCTATCTATCTATCTATCTATCTATCTATCTATCTTTCTTTCTTTCTTTCTTTCTTTCTTTCTTTCTTTCTTTCTTTTTTTGACATGGTTTCATTAAGAATATCTGGCTGGCCTGGAATTTGCTATGTAGACTAAGCTGTCCTCAAACTCATCAAATGCATCAAGATCCACCTGCCTCTACCTCCCAAGTGCTGGGATTAAAGGCGTGCGCCACCATGCCTGGCTCCCACCTGACTTTTTTTTAACACATGAATTCTGAGGACCAAACTCAGTTTCTCACATTTATGTGACAGTCTACCGACTGAACTCCGTGAAGCTCAATATTAGTTGTTAACTTGACTCGGTCTGAGATCAACTAAGAGGCCCCTGGGTGTGTCTGTGAAGGCATTTTCAGGAAGGTTTGAGGGGGACCCACACATCAGAGAAGAAAACCTCACAGGCTGTCCTGTAACCTCCACACAGGTGCCATACACAGGCATGCACATGAACACACAAATAAATGTCATAAACATTTTTATAAAGAAGCCCGTGTTGCCAGCTCCCCAGAGGCAGCATATCTTGTACTGGTGAATTATCACTGCTGTGTGAGCTCACAGAGGAGCTGGCCTTGGAAGCGAGGCTGCCACCCTTAATTCAGGCCCAAATACTTCTGTGTTTAGTGTCCTCGAAGACTCCTTGTCTAGGGATGGGCTGCTCTCTTCCCCAAGCTGGTGCTTGCAAGGAAAGAGCAGCAAAACAACCCAGGTGAAAAGGCCACGTCCTCGGGAGCAGCTGGCAGGTGAAGCACTTGCCGCAGGGCCGACTGCCCTGCCGTTCACACTGTTCACCCCACAATCCAGAAGAGCCGAGCGAGAGAGAGCTCAGTTTAGCCCTGGAGAGAAGCTCAGCCGGAACCCCATCTGAGGTAGAATAAGGTAGAAAGATCAGACTTACTTCCTTTTGTTTGTTTGGTTTTTGTTTTGTTTTGTTTTTCAAGACAGGGTGTTAGATTTGCTTAAAGCATTGCTTGTACTGGTCATTTCCAAGCACGGAACTTGCTGCCTGGATCAGAATGACCTGGAGAAATAGCTGATACAATAGGTCCTGGCCCTTACTCACCTGAGCACCACAGCTTACACCTTAATAACCTAGCACACAGAAACTTAGAAACATGCCTTTGAGAAGAAAAGGCTAACGGCCATGTATGACTCTGTAAGAACTTTCTGGCTTGCTTACCCAGTCTCCAGCTTTAGAGTATAAATGCTCACTTTAGAGTAGAGAATGCTCACTGGTCCTGGGCCCACAGCTTTCAGGAGCTGTCCTAGCTTTGGTCCATTAGTGACATCTCTCCTCTTCCACTCTCAATGATATCGGGGTGTTTATTCCAGAAAGATTCCCGCAACACATCCATCCATCTACCCACCTATCCACCCATCCATCTATCCACCCATTCATCCACACACCCACCCACTGATCCATCCATCCATCCATCCATCCATTCATCTACCCACCCATCCACCAATCCATCCATCTATCCATCCATCCATTCACCCACTCAACCATCCACCCACCCACCCATCCACCAATACATGCATACATACATACATCCACCCACCCATCCACCCATTAATACATACATACACCCACCTATCTACCAATCCATCCATTCATCCACCCACCCACCCCCCACCCATCCACCAATCCATTCATCCATCCATTCACCCACCCATCCACCAATACATGCATACATACATACAAACACCCACCATCCATCCATCAATACATACATACATACATACACCCATCCATCCATCCATCCACCCATCTACCTGGCTAACATCTGTGTATCTATCATCACACTAACATCACTTACTATTTATTATTTCACTATGACTTGTTATATACTTAATGAACTCACTCATACAAAGGCCATAGCCAGATGCCCTTAGAAGCTAGAATTGCCTGGTAAGTCAACCTCTGGGTTGTTTTTCTCTTGTTATATACATTTCTATTTGCAAAATAGTGTGCGTACATGTGTGTGTGCATGTGTGTGCCATAGCGTGGGCTTGTGAAACTTGGAGGGAAATTTGTAGGAGTCAGTTCTTTTCTCTCATCATGTTGGTTCCAGAGGTCAAATGTAGGTTGTTAGCAGGCTTGGTGGCAAGCACTTTTACCCAGTGGGGCACATCAAAGGCTCTAAAAGTGGTTTTCTTTTCTTTAGACAGAGTCTAAAGGCTATTGTAGTCCTGGCTGTCCTGGGACTCACTATGTAGACCAGGCTGGCCTTGAACTCACAGAAATCCACCTGTCTTTGCTGGGATTAAAGGCATGCACCACCATGCCCCACAGTCCTCAAGGTCTTATTTGGAAACCAGTTTATTTTATCTAAAATTTGCAAAGATGTTGAAAGGCATTCTTGTGCTGAACTCAGTGGGAGCCACCTGAATCACAATGCTCAGAAGGCTGAGATAGAGGATGGCTGTGAGTTTGAGTCTCAAGAAGGAGAGGGAGGGGATTAGAGAATTTTTTTTTTGTGGTATGTGTGGTAGATGCATGTATGCACACGCGGAGGATGCTGTCAGTGTGTAAATACCAGCTCAAAGCCCAAGGACCCAGGCATCAAAGTGAGACCAAGCATTTAGCACCTCAGGAAGCTGTTTGTGAAGAGGCTGCCTGGCATTGAGGTTCTGGCAGCAGCAAGACCAGTTGGAAGCTGTCTCTGCCATAACACACTTGCAGTCTAGATATATTGGAAGTAGAGTCTGGAGGATCAGAAGCTCAAAGCCAGCCTTGTCCTCACAGTGAGTTAGAGTTCAGCCTGAGATCCATAAGATTCTGTCTCAAAACAAAACAAAACAAAAAACCCAAAACTAAGTATTTCATGGCGGCGATGCCTGCAATCCCAGCACTTGGAAGTGGGTGGAAGCGGAAGAATTCAAATTCACCATCAAAAACCCAAAACCAAAACAACAAGGCTTGGAGAGCTCAGCTGGAGGGGGTGGGGTTGTGGCAGTGTGGGGAGCAGGGGAAGCCTCTGTGACCTTCATTGGCAGCAGAGTGAGGAGCTTCAGGAGGCAAAAAGGCAGCTCAGCACACAACTCAGTAGCCACTGTTGGGGAGTCTGACCCTGAGTGTTTTATTTAAGCACAGCAACATCTAGTGAAAACTACTCGTGATGTCTAACTCAGTCTCTCATGCACAGCAAAATGTGCCTAAATCTCTTTGAGGAGCAAAGGAAGCTACACCCAGAACAGATGTGACTACATCAAGTCTCTGTAACATGTGACGCCTTCCATAAAGACAGGTTCCACAGACTGACTGAGAAGTGTATGAGAAGGGTCTGGTGCCGGGATGTCTCCGGTCACACAGACTGTGCACAGGTCACCAGGCCTTCTGGATGGAAAACAGGCTTTTTATTCCTCCCCTTGAAGGAGCGACCCTGTTCCTATAAGTGCATATCCGTGAGCACCAAGACCTCTGTGCCTCCTACAGACCCCTATCATTTGGGTTAGAAAGATGGGCGTATGAACAGATCCCTCCTGTTGTTAATTTAAGTGTACAGTGTTCTGTCTGCATGTACACCTGCAGGCCAGAAGAGGGCGCCAGATCTCGTTATGAGCCACCATGTGGTTGCTGGGAATTGAATTCAGGACCTCTGGGAGAGCAGCCAGAGCTCTTAACCTCTGAGCCATTTCTCCTGCCCCACCCCCACACCTGGTTATTTTAAGTAAAAGCCGGAGGCTCATCCCTGAGCAGAATCCACACACCTCTCAAGGCTGCCCATGGTGGTTGCTGGGGAGTTGCACAGGAGAGACCCACAGCATCCCTTTCCAGCAGAGACGGCAGCTACAGCTCAAGCTGGTCACCACTGTATAGTATGCCAAGTCTGCAGTCTCCCAGCTTCCTCTGTCAGCGTCATGTACGACCATGGAGCCTTTACCACTTCCAGAGAATCGTTGGTAACCGTGGGACCACATTCACTGAGCCACAGATTGCTTAAATTTCATCAGTTTTCCCTTCTCTGGTCCAGGATTCCACCCAGAAAAGTCGCATTTGCTTGCTGACAATCTACATAGTTTCACTCAGTTTTACGTCCTTGACACCCTGGAAGTTCAGTGTTCCTGTGATGGGGCACACAGAGACCAGAAGCCAACTCTGGGAGACACTTTACTCCGTCTTCTGTGGGTGCTTTGCAGATTAAACTCAGGTCACTGTAGTTGGCCCCAGACACCTTCACCCCCTGAGATGGGGTGTGGATATATTGCACGGTTGGCTTTTCCCTCTCTGGTGCTAGGACTGGAAAACACTCTAGGCCTTCCTTTCCTAACATGGGTTCCGGGGACTCAGACTCAGTCCTCATGCTCAAACTTGTTGCTTAGACCTGATTTTTTTTTTTAATTTTAATTAATTATTTTGAGACAGGGTTTCTCTGTATAGCCCTGGCTGTCCTGGAACTCATTCTGTAGATCAGGTTGGCCTCGAACTCAGAGATCTGCCTGTCTCTGCCTCTGGAGTTCTAATATTAAATGTGTATGCCACCACTGTCTGGCTGTTTTTATTTATTCATATATAAATATTTTTATCTGGAGATATTCTTCTTTTTTCTCTCTTTTCCCCCTCGGTTGCAAGTAGCTCTGGCTGGTCTTGACTCGCTACAGGACCATGAGTGACCCAGAACTCACAATCCTCTTCCCTCCACTGCCTGAGGACTGAGACCGTAAGTGTGTGCCACCTTGCTCAGCTTGCTATTTTCCTTCAGGGTGTCTCTCTGTAATTCAACCCAGGATCCAACTCAAAGCAATCTTTTTGTTTTGGCTTCTTTTTAAAATAAAAAGAAAACGACTTATTTTTAATTACCTCTATGTGTATGTGGGGATGTGCTGTGAGTGTAGGTACCCTCAGAGGCCAGAAGAGGGCGATGGATTTCCCCGGAGCTGGGTTTCCAGGCAGCGTGAGCCTCCTGACATGGGTACTGGGAGCCGCTCAGTTCCTCTGTAAGAGCAGCAAACAGCCAGCAAACTGTCTCCTTGCCGCTATTTTAATTTCTTAAATGCTGGGATTACGGTCCTATGCTACCATACCCAGCCTCTACTCATAGTTGATTTATTATTTCTTTGCTCTTCAATTGATGTGTAACTTAAAAAGAGCACTAAGATAATGCTGGAAAATGCTGGCTCGTAACTCAACCAACCCTCTGGTTTCCTCCAATCAGGGCTGCCTTCTCCACCCCTTTGCCTAGGAGGAGGGCTCAGCAAAGGCCTGCTCTGTCAGACTCAGACTCCTTGGTCCTCAGTTATTTTATTATAGGATGCTCTTGAATAAGGGAAATGGTGTGTTCTTGGGGTTAGATTGAGGTTATCAGATTAGGGTAAATGTTCTCAGAAGCCAAGAGTAGTGGCTTTACCTGTCATTCTAGCACCGAAGAGGCAAAGGCAGGAAGGAAGGCCCAGAGTTGAAGGCCAGCATTATATAACAAGACCATTTCTCTTTTTTTTGTTTTGTTTTTTTGGTTTTTCGAGACAGGGTTTCTCTGTGGCTTTGGAGCCTATCCTGGCACTAGCTCTGTAGACCAGGCTGGTCTCGAACTCACAGAGATCCGCCTGCCTCTGCCTCCCGAGTGCTGGGATCTCAAGGAAAGAAAAGGAAAGAAAACAAAAGGGAAGAAAGAAAAGAAGAAAAGGGGCTTGGGCATGGTGGCACACAGCTTTAACCCCAGCATTTGGGAGGTAAAGGCAGGTGTGAGTTCAAGATCAACCTGGTCTACACAGACAGTTCCAGTTTTTGAAACCCTCAAAAAAAAGGTGGGGTGTTTGTCATACAAGCCTTCCAAATGAATTCAATACAGGGCCAGGCATAGTAGCAAACATTTTCATTCCTAGGACTCAGGAGGCAGAGACAGGAGGATCTCTGTGAGTTTGAGGCCAGCCTGGGCTACATAGTGAGTTCTACAGAGCTAGAGCTATGTAGAGGGACCCTGCTTTTAAAAACATAAACAAACAAAGACTTAGGAATCTGAAGTAGGATAAGAACAAGTCATGAACGTTACCCTCTGACCTCCACAAGAGTGCCACGATGTCCTTGCACACGTACACACATATCAACGGTAACAAATGAAATAAGAAGAAAGAAAAAAAGGGGAAAAAAGTGTTTTTCCTCAGACCCGTCACACATCTATGGATCACATCTGATGGCTTTGACCTTGGCCTCTTGGTTAAGGAATTTCCGCCAGACCACTTTTCTTCCACTTTCCCTTTTATTTGTCCATTTGTTTATTTATTTATTTTGAGGCAAGTTCTCACAAAGTAACTCTGGTAGGCCTGGAACTCTCTCTGTAGACCAGACTGACCTGGAACTCCCAGAGATCCCCCTGCCTCTGCTTCTCTAGGACTGGAATGAAACGCAGGCAGCACCATGTATAGTTTCACTCTCTGTAAAGACACTATTCTAGTCCCTAAGCCAAGGAGGAGCTAAGCCTCACCTCCTGGAGGGAGGCGAGACTGTAGTACAAAGCTCCACGGACGAATACAGAAGGTTGGCAAAGCCAGACTCCTCATTAAAGTTTCATTCCCAACTTTAGCATCCTTGAGTGGGTCTTGCCTCCTGGCTGAAATCATAAACTTCAGGCTCGGTGAAAGACTCAGGAGGTGGGGGGGTGCGGTCTCCCTGAGTTTGAGGACAGCTTCATCTACATAGAAAGTTCCAGGCCAGCCAAGACTATACAGTGAGATCCTGCTTTAAAAAAAAAAAAAAAAAAAAAAAGGAAAGAAAAGAAAAGAAAAAATCCCACCCCCAAATTAAGGTGGAGAAGGATAGACCAACATTGCCTTCTGGTCTCTGCATACACACTCATGGGTAAAGCACGCCTGCACACGTGTAAACACACAATCTTACGTATGTGCACACGTGCCCCTTCCCTCTTGATAATTCCTGCCTTGGCCTCATCAGCCTACAACTCAGCTGACGTGAGGCTGTGGGTCCACACATGCAAGGCTATGTCGGCTCCTCACGCTGGAGGGCTTTTAGTGAGGACTCTGGGCTTTGCACTAAGATGAAATCACCTAATGACAGTATTTCAGCATGTCTCCATCAATAATCAATACCTCACTCCGGTTTAGTCGCAGTCTTGAAGCTCCCCAGAAGCCCTTGTCTTTGCTCTTACACTGCATAAATCTGTTTTCGAATTGTTTTTCTCCCCTTACCTGGAATTCAAGGACAGATGCTCATTTCCTTGTTTATGGCCTGCCCAGCTCGTTGGGTTCTCAATAAACCCTATGGCGTATGTTGGCTCGTCTGCCGCTGTAATAAGAACAGCCAGCAGCCTCGGAACACAAGTGCCGTGTATTCAGGAGAGCTCGTTTTATGTCTGTTTCATGTGTAAAATAAAGGATCGTTGCAGAGACTGAGTGGATGCACGCAAAACTTGTGCACGAAGCAGGCGTGTCCAGTAATGTTTATTACTATCATTATCAGTATGGTAGGCTTAACAGAGCTTCCCCAAGGACGTGCAAACTCAGAACCATGCCTGACCCATGCAGAGCATTTTTTTTTTTTTAAACAGCCTGATATGTGACCGATGCTATCACTGCCACTGTCGTCTGGAAGATGATATAATAGCAGCCATTATTTTTTTTTCCCACCGTCGTTTCCTGGTCTCCCTGACCGCCCAAGGATGCTTTTCAGGCCTCTGCCCTCCCCGCTTGAGCCAGAGCCAGAGTGAGGATTCAGGTCCTGTGGACCACTGGTTCCCATCGCCCCGCCCACAGGCCTGTACTGCTGTGGTCTCCACGGAAACCCACTCAGGGGCGGGTCAACGTCACGCCTGACAGGAATCTTCGCCTATTCAGTTAAAGTTTTCTGGCCGAGGAGCATCAGAATGGCTTCTGAGTGGTTTATCCTTAATGAAGGGCGGGGATAAGGCGGGAGCTGTTACCATCTCTACCAACCAAAAGCCGAGATAGCTTTGATGGACAAGCGTAGCGGGAAGAGGCCAGGAACGCCGGTTGTCACCCAACCGGCTGGCCTCTGTGATGAAGAACGGCCAATCAGAAAGCGGAGGGGGCGGGGCCAAGGGACCGGTTGCTCCGGAAGTGGAGGGAGGGGGTGAAAATGGCGCCCAGCTCGAAATCGGAGCGGAACAGCGGGGCCGGGAGCGGCGGCGGCGGCCCTGGGGGAACCGGGGGGAAGCGGGCGGCGGGGCGGCGGCGGGAACACGTCCTCAAGCAGCTGGAGCGGGTCAAGGTGAGGCTTGGAGCCTGAGGCGAGCGCGCCCGGTGGTGAGGAGGAGGGGACGCGGGAGGCGACCGAGGGAGGGCGGCGCGGCGGGGTGGGGGGCGGGGCCGGGAGGGGGCTGGGCGGGCCGGGCGGTGGGGATGAGGAGGGGATGGCGGGGTTGCGGCTGGTGCCGAGGCGCGGGCTGGGGTGGCGAAGGTTGGTGACATGGATGGAGCAGACTGGGCGGGTCACCTGCAGGGGGCCTTGGATGAAAGCGGCTGGGCCAGAGCATCGGGGAAGGGGCTCGGGTGGAGGAGGCCGGGGCGAATCATGGAGGAAGCAGCAGGGATGGAGGCGGCTGGGCGGGATACTGTTGAGGCCGCCCGAGGAATCTGGAGGAAGGGAAGCGCTGCCCCTTACTGGAGCTTGCCGCCCCACTCCCCAGCTCCCTTGCCGAGGTTCCTGCTGCCGGCTCTGGGCGTCTAGTGCCTGGTGCCCCCTCTGTCCCAGCTCTGACCGTCTCGGAGTTCGTGCACCTGGGTCTGCCTCGCTCATTGATTGGAGGAGTGTTTCCAGGGTAGTGGAAGCCCCTGGATCAGGGCTCTGTCTCCCTCGCCAGAGTTGGGCACCTGGAAGGACAGGAATGGGAATATCCTGTTAAGTGGGCAGCAGTGGAACAAGATTGTCTACGTGCACTAGAAATTAGGAGCCGGGTGAGGGCAAAACCGTGCCTCCACCTTTTTAACTGGTGCTCCCTGGGCAGGACTCAGCCTGGGCGCTCCCTGGGCAAGGGTTATATCCTTTCTGGAAGACTTGGCCGACAGAAAACCATTCCCTTTGTGGGTTGAGATGAACTGAGGGCAGGGCGCCAGCCCTTCCCTTGTAGCTCTTTTCCCACTAGATGGCTATCTTCTTGAAGGCAGGCCAAAATAGCTCCCCCGTGGTCAGCTCATGCCTGTCAGTTTCCTCAAATCCTTCCTTGGCGATGTTTTAGGGTGTGACAGTTTGCAGTTAGTTAAGAAAAGGATTTGGTTAATAATGGATTGGAGACAGTTTGGGAATACTGGGTGCTTTAGGCTCAGGGACCAGTGAGATGGCTCCGTGTCATGCGATGACAATGACGTGGGTGATCCCCTGGACTCCCATGGTGAAAGGAGATAGCCCAGTCCTGCAGATTGTCCTCACCTCTACACGTGGGTTGTAGCTTGCACGATAAATACATGTGAAAAAGAAATGGGTCCCCGTGTGGGCTGAGAACAGGCAAATGGCCCTACATCCTGGTCTCTACTCTTTCATGTCAGCTTTCAGGAAGGAGCCAGGTGGCCCAGGGAGGGGATCTTTCCACAGGGAGGGGATGTTGGGCTTAGGCTGGGAGGGCTTTGGATCCACAGGGTAGGACTGGGGTGCAGGAGTCCTCCGTGGGGGGAGGGTGCTTTGTATGGTCACGTGGCCTTTGTGTCTCCCTCTGCCCCTTCAGTGGTCTGTGGAGGCTGCCCAGCCTGCCTCTGGTAAGGAGGTAGGGAGCCACTTGACTGACGAGCTCTGGCTGTCTCTTCCCCAGATCAGTGGGCAGCTTTCACCTCGGCTTTTCCGGAAGCTGCCCCCCAGGGTCTGCGTGTCCCTCAAGAGCATCGTAGATGAGGATTTTCTCTATGCAGGGTGAGGTTGTGGTCAGGCTGGGGGGCGGCAGGTTGGGCCGCGAGCTTACCCTCATCTGCCCCCCATGCCCATTCTGCCCCACAGCCATATCTTCCTGGGATTTTCCAAGTGTGGCCGCTACGTCCTCTCCTACACCAGCAGCAGCGGGGATGACGACTTCTCCTTCTACATATACCACCTCTACTGGTGGGAGTTCAACGTCCACAGCAAGCTCAAGCTGGTAGGACTAGGCCTTCCCTTTCAGGAGGCCCTGCACTGGGCTGACCCTTCAGACAGCAAGGTCTCAGCAGCTCCTGCATCATTCAGCCTGTATCCTGTGTATGATATGGCAGTGATGTACCAGTGGGGCGACCCTTGTGGAATTGCTGACTTTGCAGTTAAACTGGTCATTTCATTTGGCTCAAGGAACATGTATAGCCTCTGA